CTTGCCTAATGTGAGGAAGTTTTTTTGTCACATTAGCCTATTTTTCTTGTAGTGTCTTGGATGCTTCACTTTGTTGGTTGTACTCCATTTCTTCTTCATCTTTATTTATACAATTCATTCTTTTGAAGGGGACATTTCTAGTCATGCATGTGTTTTTTTTTATTCTTCTCACAACACACACACATGCACACCTACAAAAATAGAAAATCATTGATCAAACTTAATAAAATAGCATTAAACCAATTTGACTAATTAAAAATATAATTGCACAATATTCTTTAATTACCCCTTATATTTGTTTTGAAATGAAATGTTAAGGGCAATAAACATGTGTTATTGTGTTATTATAAAAAAGCAACAATTAAGAAAAATCTTGTAGCAAAATAGCAATTTAACATCAACCAACCAAGCCATAAACACCTCCTAACCAAAAGGGTCTCGGACGGGCCAACGAGGCCCACCATCTAGGTCAATTAGGCCTATGGGGCCCATGACCTCTAATTCCCAATCTGAAAGTTTCTATAGGTCCAACAAAGTTTACTAAACAAGTCCTAAAAGTTTGATCCCGATCGAGTTTTTGGATCTAAGCCAATTGCATGATCGGACAACGATCGTTTTGCCTAAACTTAGAATCATTAACTTGGATTATCCATGACTCCAATTCTCGATCAACAAGTTCCTACATGATCCTAAAGGTATAGAGAGCAACAAATTTGAAATTGGGACTTATTGAACTGTCCAAACCTATCGAACCTGGATATCACATAATAGGTGCAACATCAATTCGACTGTCAAACGATAACCAATTCCAAATCCGAGCATACCGTCGTGCTTAGGACAATGTGGGGAGTGTTTTAGAACACAATGGGCAGACACAAAGTGGCCCACGCGCCGCCACGCGCTGCCAGCAATAGTGGGTCTCTTGAGTGGAAATCTCCAAACCACTGGCCAATACCTATACAAACGCGTTTAGACGAACAAGGGGAGCAAATTTTGGTCTAAGAGCTCGGCCAAAAAGTGGCCGGAAATGGGTGAAAATTGCCAAAATACTCGGCACAATATGGGTATTTAAATCAATGTCCAAAACTCCAAAATTAACCTAAACAAACTATATAAACAGGTAGAGCATGCTAAGGGGATGAATTTTCATACCTCACTCAACGGATTTGGTCGTCGAAATCACCAGAAAACACCCAAAAATACCTAAAAAAGGACAAAGCCATCGGAGCTATTTTTCGTTAAAATCGAAGTAATCCTTGATTGTTGACGTCGATTAACCACCGGGCTAGGTAGAGGAGGAAGAGATGAACATTTTTCATGAAGGTGGCGTGACCAACTGGTACACGACGACGTTGATTGGTGGCTGGGAAGTTGAACAGTCATGCAAATGAACTGAGTAAGAAGAACAATCTCCAAACCACCAAGGAACCCTAAGGTTAAAGTTGTCCTTTCACTTTAGAATTTTGAAAATTAAATTAAATTTCTGGACAAAATGTTACAACTCAACTCCAAACAAGAACAATAAATTTGGATTCAAAATGAAATGATCAATTTCTTCAAGAAACCATATTCTTGAAGAAATCAATTTAGAATCTGACCTAGATCTATATGAGTATGTGTTTGATTTAGCTAGACGCAGATTTCATTTTCAAAGCAGTTGTCAAAAACAATTTGAAAAACTCATTTATGATAAGAAGAAGAAATCACTCCAAAGGAAAGGAGAGCAAAGGGGGAAAACTCACAACCTCTCAAAAGCACATTTTCTGAAGTGACTGCTACCAAAGAGAATGAAGGGACCATTTACCCAAAATTACTAGGTCAGAAACAAACAGATGGAAGGAGAAGAATATTAGAGAATACGACAAAATTCGTTAGGACCCAACTGGAAACGAAAATAAGCTGGCAGACCTCATGATGCACAAAAGATGACTGGTCAAACACATACAAGTTGACTAGTCATAACTTAATGCATTCTAATGAATGTAATGCAAAATTTACCATTCCTTGATTACGTTGAGCCATTGATGATAGAAGCCAAAGGAGGGTAACTAGATAACAATTTAACCTAGTCTAATAACCTGAGCTTGGAAAATACATTACATGTCCTATTACAAAGTTGACACTATGCCAAATTTTACTTTACACCACACCACATAGGCATCAAAAACCATGAAATCGATGCTATTAGTATATTTGGCATCGGTTTTATAAATATTATAACTAAAAATGTATAAAGACATCTACAAAATTTTAGGCTTTACCTACCGATGTCGTTGATGCTACTTTAGCATCTATGGTTTAATGTACTGATGCGTAAAGTGGTTTTTAAAAAAAATTGTCAGCAAAACATTTAGCCACCAACCATTGCCCCCTTCTCTCTCTCTCTCTCTCTCTTAATCGCTCCCTCTCCTCTCCTCCTCCTGTCCATGGCTTGAGTTAATATATTCCATTTCAAGTGAAAGTTTTGTTCTCAATACTTTTTTCTAAGATTTTGACTTACATTTTGTTGGTATTATGTAGGCTGTGATCTATACAATGGAAGTTGGATTTATGATTCATCAGGACGATTGAATACAAACAATACATGCCCTGTCCTGACACAGATGCAAAATTTCCAGGGAAATGGGAGACCTGACAAGGAGTATCAGAATTGGCGATGGAAGCCCCTTCAGTGTGACTTGCCACGTTTTGATGCTATAGGAAATTTCTAGGGTTGATGAGGGGGAAGTGGTTGTTGGAAATTTTTGCTCCTTTCCTTCTAGGGTCAAGATTTTGTGGCCTTGATCATTTTGTCCTTCTCCTTTGTTGATCCAATATTTCAACAATCAACCCGGTCATCTCGTTTTTCTTTCTTCTTTCATTGTGCTTGTGTTCTTCAACAAAATTGTTGATTATCTAAGAAAGTGAGAGAAAGAGTGCAAAGAGAGAGAAAGATAGAGATGGGAGAGAGTTGGGGAGAGAGAGAGAGAGAGAGAGAGAGAGAGAGCTTGGTAGAGAGAGAGAGAGATCATAGGGGGAGTGGGAGTGGAAGGCGGAGGGGAAGGAGAAGGAGGGAGATACGAAGGGGAGATGATGACTTGCATGTTTTTTTTTTCTTTTAATTATTTTTCATGGGTGTTGAAGAAAGGAGGAGTGGGAGCGATTTGGAAGAGAGAGAGAGAGAGAGAGAGAGAGAGAGAGAGAGAGAGAGAGAGAGGCAATGGTTGGTGCGGCTGGGAAGGGGGATGGGTGTGGGTGGGATCTGGGCGAGAGGGTCGGGTAAAGAGAGAGAAAGAGGTAGGGAGAAATATTTTTTTAGTTCTAAATTTTTTAATGTTTAATTTTAATTTTTAAATTAGATTTAATCATTATAATATTTAACTATATTTTTATCTATGTGGAGGTGGGCTTCACTTGACATGTCACCCCTCAATTGGTGAATAATAATGAACCATGGTCATGTTTGGTACACCTCATTGGACTGGACTGGGTTAAATAGCACTCGAAACCCTTGTTTGGTAAGAGACGGGAACTAACTTAAATGAGACTGTATAGTCCAATACTGAAAAAAATGCATCACTTGCTCGTCTAATACAGTGAGCCTAAAAAGTGGTTCGCTAAATAGCACGCTTGCTAAATAGAACACGTGAGTTCGACGCCTCACTTTAAGAAATATCATAATTTTATTTGTTTTCTTTTAATTATTGTTTTAGATCAATGGAATGAGTGTTTTTTTTTTGGCAGCATTTATTTATTTTAGATAAAAACCTTAAAATATTACAATAATTATTTTGATATTGCATTTGGAAAATCAAACTATAGTAATTTACAAATGTTTGATATTTTTGTGATATTGGAACAAGTTTAATAATTCATGATGTGATGCTTTCTTTATCGCAAGCAATTTTTACCTTGTCAAATTATATTTTTCAGTTTGAAGTCAAAAGTCAAATATACAAAAATTATATATATAATTTTTTTAATTATTGTTTTACTTGGTCCCTGAAAAATCTAGAATTATATAGAGTGAGGTTAGCTCTTTTAACAATGTTTCGACCAACTAAGATTAATCTTGAGAAGTCAAAAAACAAATATTATAATTTTATTTTTCCTAAAAAAAACAGAATTTTATTTTATTTTATTTTTATTATTGTTTTTTAAAAAAAAAATTGTGCCAGATATTGCTATAAATCTTTGAATTGGGTTTTTTTTTGTAGCATTTATTTATCTTTTAGGTCAAAAACCCCAATTAAATTTAAATATATAAGAATTATTTTTTAGTCCAACATAGCACCAAACATAAGTCTTCATCACTATTTTTACAATCCAGCTTCTTAGTCTAACGTAGCACCAAACAAAGGTCAGTACTTAATCGAGCTTAGACCAATCTGAGCTAATTCGAGACAGTCCCAGGATTTAGTCCAGTCAATGACAAGATGTGGAAATGCTTTTGGATGTTGGTGGGAATGGTCGTTTCATGGTTGGGATATGGGGGGCATCTGGAATAGGCAAGACAACAATTGCAAAAGCTATATGGAATGAAATTGCCCATAAGTTTGAAGGAAGTTGTTTCTTGCCAAATGTTAGAGAAAATTCAATGCCACAATATGGAGGCTTAATCCAACTACAGGAGACTCTCCTTCAAGAGATTCTTGGTGGTAAAAAGTTGAAAATTGCCAGTACTGATAAAGGTATCTCTATTATACATAAACTATTGAGGCTTAAAAAGATTCTCTTAATTCTTGATGATGTGAATCAGTTGGAGCAATTAGACAACTTGGCTGGAGTTGGTTGGTTTGGTGAGGGTAGCAGAGTCATCATAACTACACAAGATAGCGGATTGCTAAAATGTCATGGAATTGAGTTGATATACGAGGTCCAAAAGTTATTTGACTACCAAGCTCTTGAACTTTTCAGTTTGAATGCCTTCGGAATAAAAGAACCTCCAAATGATTATTTGGAACTCGCACAACGAGCAATAGCCTATGCTCAAGGCCTTCCACTAGCTATAACACTTTTAGGTTCCCATCTTCGTAATAAAGGTATACATCGTTGGCAAGCTATATTAGATGGTTACGAAGGAGAACCTTATTTAGGTATTCAGAAAATACTTCGAAAAAGTAATGATGCATTGGAAAATTCAATGCAACAAGTTTTTCTTGACATTGCATGCTTCTTCAAGGGTGAAGATAAGGACTATGTGATACAAGTACTAAGAAGTTGTAAGCAGAAGGTCTCCCAAGATTGTATAGAAGTACTCGTTGAGAAGGCAATCATAACTATTGAATGTAATAGGATTTGGATGCATGACTTGCTAGAAAAAATGGGAAAGGATATAGTTCACGAAGAGTGCCCCATTGAGCCTGGCAAGCGTAGTAGATTATGGTTTCATGAGGACGTCTACCTTGTTCTAACAGGAAATACAGTAAGTATAATATACGTTCTTATATTCCATTTGAAAAGAACCAGTACCTTATGTAACCTAAAAATTTCTTTACAAAATGCACTTGTATTTTGGTTTGAAAAGTCTTAACACTAATTACTTTCCATTTTAGGGCACAGGAAAAATTAAAGGCATCATGATGGAGTTTCCCAAGCCAAATGCGATAACATTCACTACTACGTTTCACTATTTGCGCGACGAAATATTGCGCGACGAAGATCAACTCGTCGCGCAAACCATAATTGCGCGACGAAAATACATATTCGTCGCGCAATCCACTGAAAATTTGCGCCACCAAACTTTTTCGTCGCGCAAAATGTATATGCGCGACAAAACAATTTTTCGTCGCGCAAACAGAGTTAAAAAAAGCGGGGGGAATTTTTTTAGCGCGAAACATTTGCGCGACGAGAAATATCGTCGCTGGAGGCAACATTGCGCGACGAACAAATTCTCCGTCGCGCAAATAGGACAATCCCCTGATTTAGCGCGACGGAAAGACGTTTCGTCGCGTAAGAGAACAAGAGATATTTTATTTTTTGGCGCCAAAAATGACCTGGGTGGGATATTTTTTTTGCGCGACGTACTTACGTTTCGTCGCGTAAAGTTCAACGTTTACGCGACGAATATCTTGTTTTGCGCGACGGAATTTTGTTTTTGCGCGTGCGACGAAAGTTTGCGCGACGGAAAGTACCAGCGTCGCGCAAAAGTTAGATGTCGGCAGGTGTTTGCGCGACGAAAAAATGGGTTTGCGCGACGAATAATTTGGTTTTTTGCGACGGGAGTTTGCGCGACGAATAAGTATGTTCGTCGCGCAAAGTCCTTCTTCTTCATATTAGAATTCTGCCATTGCAGAGGCAGAATGCAAAAACAAAGCATTCTGCCTCTGCCTCTCTCTCAACCTCTCTGCTGCTGCTGGGATTTCAATACATTGATTGGGTAAGTATTTTTCGTCATTAGTTTAAAAGTATTAATTTAAGTTCGTACTAAGGTTTTTTTAATTTGTTTTCGTTAGGGATATTTGTAATTAGCGATTGGTGGAGAACGATTGAGAATGTATTTTATTTGTTTTATATATGTTTAAAATGTTATTGTGAAGTTATATTTAGGCTTAATTATGTATATGCCCCATGTGCTTTCCAACTTATCTCAGATTACCACCTGTGGTGGAAAACGTCTCAAAGTACCCCCCAACGTTCAAAAAACTGTCTCACATTACCCTTTCCGTCAGTTTTTTTGAAGTTCCGTTATGAACGTTACTGTTCATCTCCCCCAAAATTCCAGAACAGCAGCTCCTCCCATTTGTTACTGTTCATCGCACCAGTTTTTGGGCTGCCATCGCCTCCTCCGGCCACCCCAAGCGACGACATGGATATCAAAAGAACCAGCACGTTGTCCTCTACCACTCTCACATCTCAGCCGCTACCAACCGTCGTCTGGATCACCGAAAAAAGCAAGAAATTGGCCGGTTTTTACCCAAAATCTCCATTGCTCGTTCGGGCGATTCCGAGCACCATTTTCTTCGATCCATGTATGATTTTTCAACCTCTCGAGTTGTTCTTGCTGCTAGTTGTGTTGGTTAGGAGAAATTTCTGAGTTTTGGAGGGTAAATAAGCGATGAACAGTAACAAAGGGGAGGGGCTACTGTTCTGGAATTTTGGGGGAGATGAACAGTAACATTCGTAACGGAACTTCAAAAAAACTGACGGAAAGGGTAACGTGAGACAGTTTTTTGCACGTTGGGGGGTACTTTGAGACGTTTTCCACCACAGGTGGTAATCTGAGATAAGTTGGAAAGCACAGGGGGCATGTACATAATTAAGCCTTATATTTATATTATGTTGTGCGTAACGTAGTACAATCTGTTGTGATGTACGAAGTTAATTGAAATTAACTTCGTGCTTTTATTTTTATGTTTAGTAACACTTAGTTTCCCGTTCGAGATTAGTTGGATTTCGTGCATGGATCTTGAATTGTCCGTAATGCATGACTGCGGTCCAATTAATTCTTGAATTGTCCCATTATTTGGACAGTTTGGTAATGCATAGTGTTGTCACGTAATCTATGGCTACAGGATTAGGTTTCGATTGTGGATATTTCGTTGTCATCTCGGTACGTTCTTCGGGTGGTACATAGGTATTTATACCTATGGCCACCTCAAGAACTGTAGCGAGATGCTGGCGAAATTCATCCACGTCGAAATCTAATCTCATGTAGTCGTAGGTTACGTGGCAGGAGTATGCATTCCCGAATGGGATAGGACCCTTACCGGAGGCATAAGGTGACATTATAACTTCGTATGAAGTTGTTGTGATTGTTGTGTTGTGATTCTGGTTTCAGGAATTATGGACAGAAGGTGGATACAAAACCCGAACAGATGCGCAGACGAATACTTGGATGGAATCGAGGATTTTATTGAGTTTGCACGTAGACACAACCCGGGTGCAACTAGAATCCGTTGTCCTTGTAGGAGGTGCAACAACACGTTATGGGAGACAATTGAAAATGTTGGATTTCATTTAGTAAGGAATGGAATGATTGAGACATATAGCATTTGGAACCTTCACGGGGAACAATTAGAGCATGCTTCGTCTTCAAATGCCACAAGAGTGGACAATGTTCAACCTATTGTGGATGCTAATGATGAAGTCATGGATATTATACAGGATGTTTTTCCATTTGCATCGACCAACATGAATCAAGAAGAGCAAGATGATGTGCCTACACCAATAGACAGTGCGGAGTTTGAACAATATGAGAAATTGTTAAAAAATGCCAACCAAGAGTTATACCCGGGGTGCGAGAGCTTTTCCGTTTTCACGGCCATTGTGGAGCTAATGCACGGAAAAATAAAGTATCGTATGTCGAACCTGTGTTTCGATTACTTTTTGGGGGTTTTCAAGAGAATGCTTCCGACGGACAATTGTTTGCCGAAAGACCATAAACAGGCGCAGAAGGTGTTGAATGGTCTTGGATTGGGTTATGAAAAAATCCATGCTTGCAAAAACAATTGCATGTTATTCTACAAAGAGCATGAATCGTTGGATACATGTCCTATATGCAATGAGTCGAGGTTCAAGATGACATCTCAGAATAGGACGACTAAGATCCCACAAAAAGTCATGCGTTATTTGCCCCTGAAACCTAGGTTGCAGCGATTGTATATGTCGACGCATACTGCCACAGACATGAGATGGCATAAGGAAAAACGGGTAGACGATGATGTGATGCGGCATCCTGCAGATGGGGAGGCATGGAAAGAGTTCGATCGAACGTTCCCAGAGTTTGCTGCTGATCCCCGAAATGTTAGATTGGGACTTGCCACTGACGGATTCAATCCGTATGGGGTTCTAAACCAACACCACAGCACTTGGCCGATTTTCGTATTCCCATATAATTTGCCGCCTTGGAAATGCATGAAAAAAGAATACATGATGATGACTGTTTTGATAACTGAGGATCCTGGGAGGTCAATCGATGTTTACTTAAGGCCGCTGGTTGATGAGCTGAAGGATTTGTGGACAAACGGTGTTCGCACGTACGATAAATCAACTGGGAAGATGTTCACTTTGCGGGCAGCAGTTATGTGGACTGTGAATGATTTCCCAGCATATGCAATGGTTTCTGGGTGGAGCACAAAAGGTTATATGGCATGTCCTGTATGCAAGGAAGATGTAACTTCTGGTTGGCATGCTGGAAAAGTTTGTTACCTTGGTCATCGGAGATGGTTGCCATGGGACCATGAGTGGAGGGAAAAAGATAAAGAGTTCGACGGGAACACTGAGCGTCGCCTTAGACCCAGAGAATGGTCCGGTGATGAGATATTGGACCAGCTGAACCGGTTGGATTTTGCTCCCTTCGGGAAAACAGTTAGTCGTATCAGACCTTCTACACATATGAACTGGACGCACAAACCTATGTTTTTTGAGCTCCCATATTGGTCGAAACTAAAATTGAGGCACAATCTAGATGTGATGCATGTTGAGAAAAATGTATTCGACACATTGGTGGGCACGATTCTAGATATCGAGGGGAAGACAAAGGACACGATCAAAGCTCGTCTTGATTTGGAAAGAATGGGCATACGAAGGGGTTTATGGATGAATAGGGACAATGATAAAGCTAGAAGGGATCTTGCATTCTTTTCTATGAAACCGAATGACAAGAAAGAGTTTCTAAAGTTTGTATCGTCAGTAAAGTTTCCCGATGGGTATGCTTCTAATATCGCACGTTGTGTGAATGTTGACGGGGGTAAATTTACTGGACTTAAAAGCCATGACTGCCATGTGTTTATGCAACGCCTACTTCCTGTTGGTATTCGACACCTATTGCCGGAAGATGTAGTGAAGCCAATCATTTTGTTGTCCAGATTTTTTTCCCAACTGACGGCGAAAACTTTGCGAAAAACGGACATGTTTCAGTTGCGCCATGACATTGTCCAAGTCCTATGCAAGTTTGAGATGATATTTCCTCCAGCTTTCTTCACAAGTATGATGCACGTGATGGTTCACTTGCCAGAAGAGGCATTACTTGCTGGTCCTGTCAACTATCGCTGGATGTATCCAATAGAAAGGTATATAATCCTTATCATTTGTGTATGCATCATTATCACATGCTTGCTAATTTCAATCATATCGTTTTATTTTGGCAGGCTTCTCGGGGAGCTGAAAAAAAGTGTACGCAACAGGGCGAAGCCCGAAGGATCAATCGTAGAGGCTTGGGTTCAATATGAGTCGCTTACTTTCTGCGGAATGTATTTAAAAGATGTGGAGACGGTTTTCAATCGTCCTCAGCGCAATCATGATGGAGGTATGAGAAATGAAAAACTTTCTGTTTTTGCCCAAAGCGCACGACCCTTCGGAGATCCTGGACGCGGAGAGTCGTTTTCTAGAAATGACATGGAGGTAGCGCATTGGTTCGTACTGAACAATTGTGATGAGAACATGGGATACTTATATGAGCATGAAGAGATGATGAAGCGAGAACATCCATCACATTTGGTTGCCCAGAAACACCGTGAATTGTTTCCACAATGGTTTTTGGATTCTGTAAGTTATCAGTGTTTGTTATTTGAGAAATATAAATTTTTTTAATAAATTTTGTCAGACTAACATATGAATGGTTTTGTATAATATTAGGTGAATAAGTTGAAATCATCGAATTCCCCAACTTACAGTGATGAGTTATATAACTTGGCGTTTGGCCCGATTCGCGCTGAATTGTTCTCGGGTTGTAATGTCAACGGTGTCAAATTTTTGGCCGAAGCACGAGATGACAAGTTGTGTACGCAAAACAGCGGTGTCCATGTCCCAGGTGGAGGCGAAAGTACGGACATTGATTTCTATGGCAAACTCACAACTGTCGTGCAATTGCTTTACAAAGATCGATACCAAGTGATCATGTTTAAGTGTCGATGGTTTGACACCAACCCAAATAGGCCGGGAAGTGTTAAAATCGATCATGGCTTACTATCTGTGAACATGAACAGAACTTGGTATGATGACGACCCTTATATTTTGGCAAACATGGCAACACAAATTGTGTATCTAGATGACCCTAAAGCCGGAAGCGGTTGGAACGTTGTTCAAAAGATGGATCACAGGAACGTGTATGCTATACCAGAACTAGACCCAACTGACAACAACGTCAACAATGTAGCTGACCAACGTTTAGAATCTTCAATGGAAAATGATGCGGAAACACTTCGAGATACTAATGTTATACAAGAGCCATTTCAAATACAAGGAGTGTCTTCAATCGAAATACCGATTCAGTCAATTACAATTGACCTCGGTGATCTTCCGCGATATGATGTTGCAGTTGGCCCGAGCAACGACGATGATGTAGTTATAGAGGAGGCGGAGGAGGAGGAGGAGGAGGAAGAGGATTGGGAGACCGAAAGTGATGATAGCAACGATAACGAAAGTTATTATAGTTCAGATGATGAATGATTAATTTTTATTGTAATTTTATTATGTTAGTGGACATATTTTGTGTAATGCAAATGTTTTCATATATGTACTTGTTATATCCAAACATTATATATGATACCAAGTGAAACATTATTAAAATAATTGTAGTTATAAACCATTGGTAAATAAATATAGCCAACTAATTTGTATCATAAAGTTTAAATTTATTTTCACAAAAAACTTTTAAAAAATGAAAACCATATAACCGAAAAAATGAATACAAAGAACATAAGATTATCAACAATCCTTCCATTCTCAAATCGAAAGAAAATATAATAAATCATACTTTCATACAAGTAATTATATGTAGTGATGAATACTTCAGATTAATAATATGTGAATGCAAATAATCTTGCGCGACGAAGGCATAATTGTCGCGCAATTTTTGCGCGACGGATAACGTACACGTCGCGCATACTCTATCATTTGCGCGACAAATAATATCGTCGCGCAAGTATCTTTAGCGCGACGAAAAAGAGACCCCGTCGCGCAAACATATACATATATATATATATTTCTGAATTATACACACGTATATAGTTGAAATTGACGATCGAAGTAGTTCACTGTATTCACATAGGGTTAAACAGTATAGCTGTAAAAAATCATCAAAATCAGAGTCAAAATAACCGTTAAATCATGACTTTTCGTTTATAACCGTCGAAACGTTTTGTCCCGTTACTTGAGCTCTGAATGTTTTTTTTTCTCATTTTTGACGTATAAGATCTCGAAGTATAAACAAACATATTTGACGGCTAGATTACTGAAACTAGTTTCCTAGAATGCGTATTCCATAAAAACACAATATTCATAAAAACTGAATAATTTCTTTATACATTCCTTCAGTCTAACATAAGATTATGTGATGTCTTGTACTGTAAATATATGAAATTGAAGATCGAATTACATCTCTGTATTCATATAGGGTCAAGAACCGCAGCTGTAAAAAATTTTCAAGATCGGAGCTAAAATCACCGTTGAATCGGGACAATTTGTTTACAACCGTCGAAACGTTTTGTCCCGTTACTCAATCTCTGAATGTTCATTCATTATGATTTTTGACGTATACGATCTTGAACTATGAAAAAAGAAGATTGCCGGTTGGATCATTGAAACTAGTTCAGGAGTTCAGGTTTAGGGCTTAGGGTACAGGTTTTAGGGTTTAGGGTACTAGGGTATGGTTTTGCGCGACGAATTGACGATTACGCGTCGCGCAAACCATATGCGACAAACATAATCAATTCGTCGCGCAAAATCATTAAAAAATTCGCTCCCCTCTCAGCTCCAGCACTTGGTGAAATTTTTTTTGGCAAAAGCCAGTTTGCGCGACGGATATACGCCCATTCGTCGCGCAAAATCAATAAAAAAATTCCCTCCCCTCTCCGCTCCAGCACTTAGTGAAATTTTTTTATCAAAAGCCAGTTTGCGCGACGAATACACGTTCATTCGTCGCGCAAAATCAATAAAAAAATTTCCTTCCCCTCTCCGCTCCAGCACTTAGTGAAATTTTTTTATCAAAAGCCAGTTTGCGCGACGAATACACGTCCATTCGTCGCGCCAAATCAATAAAAAAAATTCCCTCCCCTCTCCGCTCCAGCACTTAGTGAATTTTTTTTTATCAAAAGCCAGTTTGCGCGACGAATACACGTCCATTCGTCGCGCAAAATCAATAAAAAAATTCCCTCCCCTCTCCGCTCCAGCACTTAGTGAAATTTTTTTATCAAAAGCCAGTTTGCGCGACGAACTCGTTCCCAGTCGTCGGGCAAATTTTTTTTGCAACAGCCAGCAGGCGCGACGAAATTGGCATTCGTCGCGCAATCTCATTGCATTGATTTTTCCCGCGCAAAATCAAATCCCAAAATTTTGGGCGGCTGGACAAGTATGCGCGACGACAGTAGTTTTTTCGTCGCGCAAGGTATATCTGTTCACAACTTTGCGCGACGAAATCAAGTGTTTTAGTCGCGCAAAGGTCAAATTTTTATAATGTTGCGCGACGAAAAGTTTATTTTGCGTCGCGCAAAGGTTATTTTAATGAAGTTTGCGCGACGGATTTCTTTTTTCGTCGCGCAAAGTCGAATAAGTTTTCTGAAAATCGCGATCTTCTCCTTCTTCCCCAATTTCTGAAACCTAACCCTAAAACCTCCCATATCTCTCCGCCGTGACCTCAGCCCCTAATCCGCCCCAAATCAGACCCTGCCGCCGCCACCGTCGAACCCAGGAGCTTCTCCGCCGTGGCCGTCCATCCTGCCGCCGTGAATTGCTCCGTTTAGGCCGAATCTCCGCCGCCGTTGTTCTCTCTCCTCCGGGCACCAAATCCGGCAATTGAGGTATGCTTTCTGGGCTATTTTTCATGCTCTAGCTGATGGTTGTGTAGGATTTGATTGATTGTGTGCATAGGGTAGTCATTTTGAAACCCTAGGTTTCGGCCGGTTTTGAAATTGAAATTCCGGCCACTTCCGTCCGTTTTTCGGGGTAGGTCCGAGAACAAAAGTGCCTCCAATTGATGTTTTAAACCTAGGGTAGGAACCTTGCCCCTTAATTTGTAGGATTTCCCGGGGATCGTTATCGCTTAGGGCACCCACGCGCTGCCGGCGCGTGTGGTGGCGCGTGGGGTACTGTGGCATAGGGCATTTTGTCCCAGTGCAAACATTTCGTTGTCACGAGCGCGTAGGTGTGCTCGGATTGGAATTTGGTTATCGTTTGAGTCTCGAACGGTTCGAACCTATTGTGCGATTTTAGGGTTTGATATGTTCGGACCGTTGGATCGAGCTGAAACTCACGTATGTGGTACCATGTATTTATAGGATCGTTTAGGAATCGACGGATTGTGGATCGGAGTCCCGGATACTCCGAAATCGCAAACCCTAGGTCAAACTATGATTTTATTTAGTTAGTTCAATTTTTTACTGACATTGTATGTGCTACATTGGATTAATGAAATTGTGCAGATGTCAGACTTGATTAGACGTCGTAGGGCGGTGACGGCTACACCGAGTTCGGAGCCCCCGGCTCAGCCGGTATCAGCTGCCACTGCTCCAGCACTGATGGAGCAGGACCACGTGCTAGCTGGTCCTGGGGGATCCCAGGCGGCTGCATCATCATCTTCTTCGGTGGTGCAGCCTCTTAGCGCTAGGCGGCGACACCGGCCCGCTACCACCACCGACACCACATCCACTGACTGTACTGGTGCCTCGGGGGCACCTACAGGTAATACCCTTCCCCTTTCATTTTTTTTTAACATTTTTTTAATTGGGAATTTTATGGTTCAATTTGATTGTATATGTAACAATATTGTCATATCCCTTTGCAGCCAAGAGGAACACCCGAGGGCCGTGTCGGCAGCTGAAGACGGCGAAGGTCACCCGGGTGACCAACAGTCGTATCAGCATCGGATATGACGAGCGCCATCGGGCTGCACCGACGGCGGACTTGCATAGCTCCTTGGCCCACGACATTGGCCACGTCGTTCGGACCCATTGCCCGATGCAATGGAAGTCTTGGAAGGTCATACCTGACGAGATCAAGATGCAAGTTCGCGGCCAGTTGTCGGTATTTTTCCTATCTTTTAATTATTTTTCTTTCAAACTTTATATATTTCTATTACTTAATGTATGTAATCAATTTATTGCAGACGAACTACGACTTAGAGGACATCAACGAGGAGACTTTGGCGTACGTCAACAGACTCTTCGGTGAGAGGTACAAGCAGTGGAAGAGCGACTTGCACCACCATTTCCAGGCGTTTGATGATCCGGAAGTCGCTCTTCAGGAGGGTTGCCCGAAGGAGCTTGAGGGGCGGGAGGATAGTTGGGCGTGGCTCTGCGCTCATTTTCAGGCGCCCGATTATGTGGTATTTTTTTAATAATATTTGTTTAATGTTTATTTTATTTTTTATATCTCATTATTATTTAATTTATTTATAGTTCAATTCTTACGTTTTATTTTTTGTATAACAGAATAAAGCCCAAGTGAATAAGGGCAATAGGAAGAAGAAGACTCTTCTTCACCATTCCGGCTCCAGGCCCTTCTCATATAGGATGGATGCACGGCGTCGGGTAAGAATAATATAATTTATATTTAATTTTTAATACGTCATTATTATTAATTTCTTTTGTTCATACTAATATTTTTCTTCTCTTGTTCAATTAAGGGGGGGTCGAAATTCCCAGAGATCGACGTCTTTGGTGACGTTTATGTTCGACCTGGGAATGAGTTGGCCGAGTCCCTTCATGTAAGTATTATGTATTTTTAATTCTTATGTTACACTTTCAATTTATATGCATTTTTTAATTTATATTTTATGTAATGTTAAACAGACGACGATGGTGGAGAGGAGCCAGTTGGTTCTTCAAGAGTCCGCCTCCCAACTTCCTCCCGAGACTCCGATCGAGTCTGTGGATCCTCCGCATGATGCTGGATTTCAGATTTTGACGCAGACGTTGGATCAGACTCTCGGGAGGAGGCCGGGAACGTATTGTAGGGGGATGGGGAATGCCCGACAGAGGGAACCTCGACCGCGGTCATCGTCGCAGGCAAACAGTCAGGTGACTGTTTTGACATCGCGGGTTGCCGAGCTTGAGGGTCAGATGTCGGTGATTCTGCAGTCCCTCGCGCGGTCCGGCATTCCAATCCCGAATTTTGGTGCGTCGACCTCCGAGCCCGTCCACCCCGAGCATCCCCAGCACACCACGGCCCCTGCAGACACCCATACCTCCGAGCCGCATGTGGCAGATGACCAAGTAGATTTCGGAACATTATTTGATTAGTTTTTTTATTTTTATAATTACTTTTACAATTTGTATACATTTATTTTATTTTATAATAGATGTTTTCTTTACGATTAATTTTTTTTATTGTAATTTCATTTTAATTAAAAAAAAACAAAATTTATTTTTTTACAAAATTAAAAATCAAATAATAATAAATTTTTTTTAATAATATATATTGCTTTTGCGCGACGAAACGTAAATCGTCGCGCAAAAACATTTAAATAACAAATCGACAAATATATTTTAATCTTGCGCGACGAGTAATTTCGTTGCGCAAGATGTGTATGCGCGACGAATAAGATGTCGTCGCGCAAGGTTCATGTAGCTCGCGCGACGGACAATTCCGTCGCGCAGTTTTTTTTGCGACGACCGCTGTTTCGTCGCGCAAATATTTGTGCGACGGACAATGAGGTCGTCCCGAAATGTTTTTTGAAACGAAGATGTTATACGTAGCGCAAACTGCGCGACGAATGACATTTGTTCGTCGCGCAAATCCTTTCTTCACGAACTTTGCGCGACGGATTGTGCGCGACGAAGCTTCTGTCGCGCATAATGATGTGCGACTAAAATCATTTTTGCGCGACGAAAACCTTTTCGTCGCGCAAAGACTAAAATGTAGTAGTGATTGAATGCAACAAGCTTCTCTGGGATGGACAATCTTGAAATTTTGATAAATCGTAATGCAATTCTATCTGGACACATTAAATATCTACCCAACGAGTTGAGGTTCCTTGATTGGGGTCAATGCCAGTTACGTTCTTTGCCATCCAAGTTTTATGCAATGCATCTTGCTGTGTTCAATATGCCTTGCGGTAGTATGAGAAAGTTGCAAAAATTTAAGGTAACAATTGAAATTATTCTTATTTATTACAGAGTTCTTGTTTTTGGAACAAAAAATATATATTTGAAGTTTTTTTTTTCAAGGGATTTGATAATTTGCCAATTTATGTTTTTGTCTCACAGTATATGCCAAAGTTGACATCTTTGAATTTGAGTGGTTGTCAATTCCTAAAAAAAATCCCTGACTTATCCGGAATCCCAAATATAAAGTGGCTGAATCTAAGTAAGTGTACAAGTTTGGTTGAGGTTGATGATTCTGTTGGACTCCTTGATAAACTTGTTGAATTGAATCTTGATGGATGCTTTAAGCTTACGAGGTTTGCAACAACACTTAGATTGAAATCCCTGGAAAGGCTTTGTCTACGTAATTGTGGAAGGCTTGAGAGCTTCCCAGAAATAGAGGACAAGTTGGTTTGTCTACGTGATTTTGAATATCGGAGAAAGTGGCGTAAGAGGATTTCCATCATCAGTTGCATATCTTACTGGGATTACATTTATGAGTGCTGGTTATTGTGACAACCTTACATTTACGTCATTGCGTAGTATATATGGATTGCAACGTCTTACTACATTTGGCGATAAGGTGAACTCTGACTCAAACATCTCATTAGCGCTTCCCAAGCTAGTTTTCTTTAATCTCCAAGGATGCAATTTATCAGAAAGTAACTTTGTCCTGCCTCTCGACTGCTGGTTCACGTTTACATTCTTGATCTATCGGGAAACAATTTTGACAGATGTCCGGGACGCATTAGTAAATTTGCCAACTTATGGTTTCTTAGATTAAATGGTTGCAAGGGGCTTCAGGAACTTCCAGAATTGCTTCGACCAAGTGTAGATCGGGTACTCCTGCCTAATTGCACATCATTGGAAAAATTTCCAAAACTTCCCCAGGGGGTTCGGTGGCTGGATTTGGTCAATTGTCATAGACTAGGTGGCTATGAGATCACAGAAAATATTCTTCTGAATAAGGTTTCTGTCTCTTCTCTCTCTCTTCCTCTATATTATATCGTTAAGATGATGATTGTTGTAACTCTATTCTATTGTAGGTACCGCATTTTGTATTCGAAATTATACCTCCAGGCAATGCATTTCCAAAGTGGGTCAGCTGTTGTAAAAATGCAACGATACGTAGATATCCTGATGTCGAGGATAAAGAGGAATACATTGGTGGATGTGAATTTTCTTTTGAAATTCCTCCAAATTTAGAATGGGAGACGTCAAGATTGGTTCTATGTGTTAGCTATCATTACCCTTATCTTGACGATGCCAAGATTCTTATCAATGGAAAACTTGTCAATGAGGTATAGAGGGGATACGTATGCAACGGAGATAGAGGATGCTTATGCGTGGCTCAAGTGTGTTCCATTATTGGATCCGCAGAAGTTACATGTGGGAGAAGAACCGACGCATTTGCAGCAGGGTAAGATGTGTCAAGTTATATTTCACTTGCAAGGCACAGGACCGATACCCGTTATAAGCTGCGGGGTACACCTATTAGGCCACCAGGTTGCTGATGTTAGTGGGAGTGCCATGG